GTATCATTGGTGTGTCAAATGTCGTGCAAAACTAGTTAGTAGGAACTATATTGTTTTTTATTATAAATAAATAAATAAACATATATATATATATATATATGTGTGTGTGTGTGTGTGTATATATGTATATATATATATATATATATATATATATATATATATATAATAAAAAGAGGATGAAGGCTCTAGAATTTTATTTTTATCGTCTCGGCAAATACACTTCATTCCTCACCTCTCACCCCTAAGATCACCCATCACCATTATCGTGCCGCTTCGACCTTCTCTCTCACCATCGCGCTGAATTTTTATCCACTCTCAAAACATCACTAATTTGGCAACCATATCAACTAAAGCTAAGCTATAAGTGAAGACGAAGCATGGTATGTATTTTGTTATACGTATAATCGATTTAGTTTGTGTATCTAATTTGTATAATTTAGCACTAAATTTGTAGATTATATGTATGAACTAGTATTTGCTCTCGTGCGATGCACGGCCATTGATGATAATAATATAATGAAATAATATAACATAATAATATGAAATTTAAAAAATTGTATTGAATAAATTATTTAATAATTAATATTGAAATTGTATTACACAGTATCGAAAACTTCTTTGTATGCGACATTTTTAGTATTATTCAAAAATTATAATTCTGATATATGAATCTGTGAAAACAGGTCTAAGTCATTAAATACTTGAGATCAAATGGTTTAGAATTTGTCAACTGTGCAATTTTGCAACTATATATATATATATATATATATATATATATATATATATATATATATATATATATATATATAGCCCAAGAGAGTTAGACCTATAATGGGTAGAAAAAATGGCGGTCACAGATTTTAATCAAATGAATGGCTCAGATTGATTAAAAGATTGATCAGATTTAAATTTTACACTAAAATTTCCTAAAATACCCACACACCGTTACTAATTCCGTTAAAATTTTAAGAATTGCAGTTAGTTCACCGTTAACTTACTCATTGATTTCAATAAAAAAAAGTCTTAGGTTCGAACCTCATCCTAATCAAAGTTGGCATAATTAGTACTCTATTTTACTCTTATTAAATTATATAAATAATAATTTAGTAGTTACAACAAAAAAAAAATACATATGTATTTCTTTAATTTAGAATTATGTGTCCACAATGCCTTTATTAAAAAAAAAAATTATTCATTATCAATAAATTAAATAAGAGAAATAATTTTATTAGTTATATTGTCTTTATTTTTCTTCAATATAAAAATTCTTTATATTCAAATTTATTAATTGATTATATTCGCTACATTGTCCTTACAATGTCTTTATTCAGTGAAAATAAATTATTAATTATCAATAAATTAATTAAAAGAAATATTTTCATTAGTTATATTGTCTTAATTTTTCTCAAATGTAAAAATTTTTACATTCAAATTCATCAATTGATTATATTCACTACATTATCTATTATCTTTTTTGTGCACTATTTTTCTAATTAAATATCAAAGTTATAATACAAAATAATGCTATATATTTATTTACCAAGTATTTTATTAATACCATAAAAAAATTTAAAAAAATATAATTAATAAAGCCAACCATATTAACTACTTGAGAGATTTTGTGACAAAGAGAGTATTCAAATCACACAACAAATTGAAGTGAGAACTACCTCGCAATGTCATTGTTTGACAATCAGCAGTTAGCGGTTAGCGTTAGCGGATTATACTAGCAGATTTGACCAGCGAATTTATTTAATTATTAACATTGGGTAGAAAAAATGATCGCCAAATTATTAAATCAAATGAATGGTTCATATTGTTCAGGTTTTAATTTTTTTCTTTTAAGATTTTCTAATTTATCCTTAATTATATGATTATCCATTTAACTTTTCCGTTAATTCACCGTTAGTCTAATTCTAATATTAAAGTCTATTATAGTATTATAACTACACCATTAATCTAATTATAATATTAAAGTCTTAACAGAACTTAACCACAAATCCTAATGTCGGAATCTCCTCAAACAATATTAGTATATATTTAATATTTTATGCCCTAATTTTTATTTGTTCTCCCTTATGTCCCGTATTTGGTTTCAACTATACCTATACAATTATTTTATTGACAATTATAATCAATCTTGACTATATTATCTTGCATTTGTAAACTTAGAATTACCTATTTAACTCGCACGGGCTTAGCTCAATGGTTTAGTGGGTAGTATTTGGGAGAAGAGACCAAGGTTTGAACCTCGGCGGCGGCAGTGTGGGAATTATGTCCAAAGTGGGCAGATTCCTTGTGCATATCAGCATTTGGTCCTGTCTGCTGAACCATTGAGTCACCGTGATTTACAACTTCCCACAATGCTCTGTCCAGTCGGAGTGTGGGGGGCCCTTGGTGTTGGGGACTCAACCTTTGGGAGAAGAATTACCTATTTAAATACGCAAATTTAACCTTCAATTATCTATGCATGAACAATTTCAATATAATTCTGCCTTAATATACTTTAAAGTACTTATTTAACAAAAAAGCATTGGGTATTATCCCAATCACGCAATGCACGTAAAAAACTAGTATATATATATATATATAATTGAGCCCATCCCAAATGTAATATTACGTCAATTGTAGGAATATATATTTTTAGGAAACAATTGTATACATAATTAGTGTACAACTATTAGTTCAAAATATGTAATATTTAACAAAAGATATGAATATGTCATTTGATGTAATACCGATCTTTTATTAAACACAACTAATAATTCATATTTAATCATACTAATAAATTATCAAATACTTCGCGATAAATAATTTCTTATAATAAAATTATAACACATCTAAATTAGTACACATGAAAATTTTAAGTTTATGTGAACTACAATTAATATATATACAAGTTAAACAGTTTAATAACATTTTTGTTATTTTATTAATAATATTAATATTAATTTTTGATATATATATATATATACACACACATTAGTTTTTTACGCGCATTGCGCAATTGAAATAATGTCCAATGTTTTTTTATATATATATAAATAAGTACTTTAAAGTATATTAAGGCAAGATTATATCGAAATTGTTCATGCATAGATAATTGAATATTGAATTTACGTATTTAAATAGGTAATTCTAAATTTACAAATGCAATATAATATATTCAAGATTGATTATAATTGTCAATAAAATAATTGTATATGTATGATTGAAACAAAATACAGGACATAAGGGAGAACAAATAAAAATTAAGGGAAAAAATATTAAATATATGCTAATATTGAAAAGCTAACTGCTGATTGCCAAACAAGGACATTGCAGGGTAGTTTCCTAATTCAATTTGTTGTGTGATTTGAATGCTTTTTTTTTATTGAAATCAATGAGTAAGTTAACGGTGAACTAACAGAAATTAACGGAAAAGATAATATTTAACAGAAAAGTTAACAAATAATCATATTCATTAAGGATAAATTAGTAAATCTTAAGGAAAAATTAAAATCTGATCAATCTGAGCCATTCATTTGTTTAGCCGCCGCCGGAGCTTCGCTGTCGCTGGGCCGTCGCGACGCCGAGAGAGAGAAAGAGCAGCGCGAGAGAGAGAGAGTAGGCAGTGAGAAGAAGGAGAAGAAGAGGAAAGTTGTGGGCTTCGTTTGTTGAACTTTGGGTCATCTTCTACCATGCCTAGAAGGTCAAGTTTGGCTAGAAAAGTGGAATGGGTGGATGCCCACTACCTTGTTCTTGAAGGTAAAGCCTTTGATCCGAATCTTTTCCTAATTCTTTGTTGGATATGCTTAGATTCCAAGGTTTGTTGGATGGGTTTCTCGCCATAAGGGCCGAGACTTACCCAAGTTTGGTTAAGGAATTTTATCGTCACATGGTTGTGACAAAGGATGGTGATAAGCTTGAGATCACTTCTAAAGTGAGAGGTGTGAAGGTAGTTCTGTCTGAAAAGAGGTTGGCTCAGCTTTTGAGTTTATCTGCTTCGGGAGTTGCTCGGTATAGCGGTAACTCGTGGATTAGTACGGATACCATGGGGTACCGGGACTATTTTAGTTATTTGTTGGGTCGCACGAGTGGTTTCACTCAAGTTTCAAGGCCGGATAAAAAGTGATTGTCTGCGGAACAGAGGATCTTGGTTATGTTGGTATCGGATTGTTTGTTGCCTAATAACAACAAAAGCAAGTTGTTGGAAAGTTGGAGTGCACCTTTGCCTTTTGCCTCAAGAATATGGTTAAGTTCAACCTGCCAGCTTTGATGTTGCAACATATGGTTTTCTATCGTGATCATAACCGGAAAAGCCTACCGTATGGGATGGTGTTGAGCTGGATTTTGGTTAGGAAGGGTGTAAGCGTGGATGGTTGTCTTCCAAAGGTCGTGGGAAAGTTGGTGTTGGATGCCACCAATCTTCGAAGTTGTAATTTGTTTCAGTTGGATGATGGTGATTACATCACGCTTGAAGAAGTGGCAAGGAAAGCACTTGAAGAAAGGGCCGAGTTGGCAGTCGAGCTTGGGATCCATGCCGGGAAGTTGAGCCTCGCTGTTCAGAGTTTAGGAGGCGATGAGTAGGGGTGGGCACGGGTCGGGTTCGGGTTCGACCCGCCTATATTTAGATCACCCGAACAATTTCGGGTTGAACAATTTCAAGTCCGAAAACCGAACCGATATAAAGAAGTCATGCATCGGGTTCGGGTGCTTCGGGTCGGTCTTCGTTCGGGTTCGGGCTAATATACCCGAAATTCTAATTGTTCCAAAAATCTGAATAAATATTGATTTGTTGTGTCATTTATAGTTATTCATTGTTTGAAGTTAATAAATATTAAGTAACATATTACTGATTTCTATGAAATTATTTATACTTTGTAAAAATTAATTGAGTGATGATAATTCAACCGTTAAAATGTTTATTTATGTTGCGTTCTTTTCCACTCAGTTCCACTCAAGTTGATTATATCCATGCGTTTAAGTGTCCAACTGTATTAAACCACACATTAATTAGCTTTTGGGGGCAACAAAATCAAAAGCATTAATTAGCTTTGGGGGCAACAAAAATCAAAAGCAGCTTTGGTTTGATTTTTCAGGCTTTTAATTGTCTATTGCAGGCTTGCAGCTTTTGATACCACCAATGCACCACCACTGATTTGCAAATTTCCATCCATAACAATGCAACCTGCAAATTTAAAAAATATGAATGAGAAAAAATAAATTGAATTTTAATTTAATATGCACTTAAATATGCTCTATTGTTGATAAAAGTATAAAATAAAAATATAACATTTTGAAGCACAATAACATATACAAAGGTTAATCGGTAAAGCTAATTTATCTCAAACAACAATAATAGACTAACATACTAATCATGGGAGAACACGACAAATAATAGAATAACATACTAATATTCTAATATTTCCCAACTGAAATCTCCATCAGCCAATTTTAATTTCTTTTACAACTTACAAATTGTTAATTCAATTAAACTTACAGAACTTGAAGAAATAAACACAAAATGTTGATGAACTCCGTGAATTTTACTCACTGGCCTAAATTGTTAAATTAATTTTTATGAAAAAAATATTACAATTTTTATAACATTCCTAAATCTTTTATAATAAGTCACAAATTTTGCAAATGATGTTGAAACTAAAATTTTCTGGAAAAAAAACCAAAAGAATTTGGGTTTTGAGTTTTGACTAACTGAATCAGAAGTTTAGAACAACACAACACAAAAATCAGGAAAAAAATACAACTTCACAATGAACAAATGTAATATTTTATGGGAGAGAATACTGTATAGTGTATACTAACTTGTTTTTTGGAAGAAAAATGAAAAAACCAAAACTAATACAAATTTTAAAAATTTAAAGAAGACCAAAAACAATGACTAATAAAATCTATAAATAAAGCAATGACTAATAAAACCAAGAACATGAAAAACACTGTAATACAGTTTTTGTTGAAAAAAAAATGTACAACGACCAATAATTTCTAGAAAGAATTATTAAAAATGTCTTTGGCAAATTAATACAAAGGGAAAACAAATTAAAAAAAACTGTTGAACTTTAAATTTTTATGTAAAAAAAAAAACTAATAAAGTAGTAAAGTACCTGTTAGATTTTCATGGCCAGAGATGATCACCGGAGAGGTCCAGAAACTCGAAACTTCGAAGGAGATCTCCCTGGATCTACTTGTACGCTAACTAGATCGAAGAATATCTAGGGTTTTCGTCCTGTGAGGTGAGAGAATAAGTTGAGACAATAAATCAAAACTTAGAAAGTGAGAAAGTGAGACGACACGAGGTACTCACCGGAGTCACCGGGAGGCGGAGAGCCGTAGATGGAGATAGAGTCATCGTCCCACGGAGAAGCGGCTTGGCGGAGAGCTAGAGACGGAGGCATGTAGAGGTTGAGAGGGCTAGAGCTTAGAGAGGTGAAGAAGGTGAGAAACAGAGAGAAAGTGAGAGGGGTGAGCGCAAGGAATGAGAGTGGTGAAGAAGGTGAGAGACGGAGAAAGTGAGAGGGGTGAGCGGCGCAGGGGATCTGAGACTATGAAAAATGAACTCTAAACCCTAAACTATAGTTTAAATACCTAGGTAATTTCGGGTTTCGGGTCGGATTCGAATTTTAATCCTCAAACCCGAAATCCGAACCGTTGTAATGCTATTGTGGCTTGTTTATTACGGGTTCAGCCCGATCAACTTCGAATCCGACCCGAATCGGGTCATAACGGGTCGAACCCGCGTTTTTTCGGGTTTAACCCGATTTGTGCCCACCCCTAGCGATGAGGAAGTTGAAGATGAAGCAGGCCGTGAGGATGAGGTGGGAACACCGGAAGCTGTTGAGGCCGAAGAAAGTGATTCTGAAAGTGAAGAGAATCAACGGAGGAGGGAAGCTCGCACCAAGAGGGAGCACGACTCCATGACGCATGAGGAGCGTGTTGTCACCTTGCTTCTTCAATAGAACCGCATGATTGAAGAGTGTTTTGCCTAGATGAAAACGCAATTCGTCGCCGTGCACCGAAGGCTGGATCAGATTGAAGCCAGTTCAAGCCGTAGAGGAGAAGATGATGAAGAATCCGAGGAGTCGGAAAGCGAGTTCTTCTAGTGTGGAGCTGTGGTTATATTGTTCGTCCTTCCTTAGTAGTTGTACCTTCTTAGCTGTAGCTACCGTTTGTTGGTTGCTTGTGGTTTGCTTTTGTGCTTGTTTTGCTTGTTGCCTTGTTGTTTAGTTAGCTTTGTAGTTGGTGTTTTGTGTTGGTTGTCTAGATTGTAGTTGTTGGCTAGAATTTGGTGTTTGTGTTGGGACTAGAGTTCGTGATGCTCAAAATATCCGTTTGTTAAATTCTTGCCAATCCTTGCTTTGAAATACCTTCTTCCTTGTTTTGAATTCTTGTGAAACCCCTTTTGAGTTTTGACCAAGATAGAACGTTTTTGAATCTCTTGTCACAATGTTGTTTCTTTTCACCGGTTGCTTTTAATTCGTCGTACCCAAGCTTCGGGGACGAAGCTTCTTTGAAGGGGGAGAGGATGTGACACCGCGAAATCCAAAATCAATTAAGGGACTAATTGAGTAATTAATTCTATTTCAATTGGTGATTTAATTCCTAAAAATCCTGAAAATTCAATAGTCGGGGACTAGTAATTGACTAGTCAACCCCAAAGTCAAAGTTGTACCTTAAGCTTTATAAGGAGTCCCCTTGTTCTCTTACACTTCCTTATGTTAGTAAGGGTATTCTTGACTTTTCACTTGGTGTTAGTATTGTAAGCTAACCTAGTAGACCACCCCCATTTCTCTCCTTAAACTTTCTAAATTCTAGCTCCACCTTCTCGCTAAAAAGGTAGGTAGCTTTTCTTCCAAGCCAAGTTGAAGCCTTGCCAAAACTTCAAGAGTTGCCTCCAAGATTCAACCTTTCATACATTTGGGCATCTAGGAGGGTAAGATCTAAGTTCATCTTGTGTTTTTAGTATTTTCTAAGGTGTCTTTTCTTAAAGATAGGATCTTTATGATCTTTTGGTGTGTTCTTGAAGTGGGTTTGGAAGGTGAGCTTTGTTAGGAGCTTGTTGAGGTGTAAAGTGAAGGTCTTTAGTCTTTAAGAGGTAACACATGCTCTACAAAATCTATTTTGCTTACCTATATGTGATTTCTTGGATTCTACATGTGATTTTGCTATGAAATGTGAGTGTTTATGCATTCTCTTGTGAAAATGCATATCTAGAGCTTGTGTTTAGGGTTCATTTATGCCATTGCTTGGTTATTCCTTTGATTCAAGTCATTTTGTTGTATTGGGTGAGATTTGGCATGTTTTGGACTTGAATTTGAGCTTGGAGTTGAAAATCCACGAAGGGATTATTTTGGGCACATGTGTGTACCCGCGGGCGGAACGGCGGGTAGGGGTCCAACCCGCCGCCCACCCGCGGGGTACAAAGATAATGGAGGCCTGTACCCGCGGGCGGAACCACGGGTAGGGGCCTACCCGCGGGGTACGTGGTATGGTTGTTGTGGGATTTGTTCCCCGTGATTCTTTTGACTCGATATTTGGTCTTTTGACTTCCCAATGTTCTTTTGTGGAACTATTTGAGTGTCTTCTTGATGTTTCGTATGTCTAGAACTATATGTGGTAGGGAATATCCCGACCGACATAGCTTTACCCCGGCTGGTGTGCCTTTGTCTTTGTCTTCTTGTCTTTGCAGGTAACAGGTCGGGTTTTCTTGTGAAGAACCCGGTCGGGATATGACCGGGAGTTGCCCGAGTGGCAGTGTCGACCACCGAGCGGTAGCCCTTTAGCAAGAGAGCTGACGAGGGACACGTGGCGGCTCCACGCACTGACAGGCAGGGCACCCGGGACGACGACACGTGGTTGCTACGTGGGAAGCATGCCGAACGGCCGGATTTATGTCTCCGGCTCCGCGGCTATAAATACTCGCGATAGCTACAGTGTGAGGGACTTTTGGACGATCGATAGGTTGTTATTAGAGAATCCCGACCGCAGTCAGTCGGTACTCAGAGCAACCAAGTAGATTGTACTTAGGGACTTCACAGTGATCAATAAGAGTTATTTACTTGCTTTAATTGGTCTATTACTTATTTAATTACCGCTTACGTGGCAATTAACACTATCATTTTGGCGCCGTCTATGGGACCCGTGCAACAAAGCTATCGTCTTGACGAGCACCCGGTCTCTCATCAATCATGTATCCGTGGGCACAAAACCTCTTCGCCGACGATCAGGCGGATGCAGCGAGCTCATCCGACCACTAGGCGACTCAGCAGCAAGGTCAGACTATGGACCTCAACCTCAATCTCTCGCCACCCCATCCATCCAATACATACCCGGCCGCCCAACAGCCGGTGAACTACATCCAACCGGGATACCCAACACCCGGTCAACAGTACCAGCAGCAGCCGATGATATATCCCGGCCAGTATCCATACCCGGTCCCACCTCAACCGTACGGGTATTGGCCAGGCCAACCGATGTATTACACGCCCCCGGTTGGCTATTGTAACACCCCGAAATTTTTAAACTTTTGAAGCTTACATAATAAGGGTGAAATCTCATTAATTCCCAAAACATAATACAAAGAGTACGGGGTGCTATGCTACACCTGAGCTAGAGAACTCAGGTGCACAGGCTAACTAACTACTATCCTCAATAATGCAAATACATAATCATGGCACGCAGGCCGAAAGGGAAACTAACTACTTCTACGCTTCAAGGTTCTAGCGCGCTCCAGTGTCTACTCTTCTGTGCCTGAAAGCCAAATATATCTGTTCAGCGAGAGATGCTGGTAACCCACTCCAACGCGTTGAAATATAATACATATAGATATATAAATAGTTATACGAAAAACCATTTTGAAGCATGAAGGTATATCCTAAGAGACTCTAGCTTTCAAAATAGGGAATAGACTCAACAGATAGAGCTCAGCACAGACAACAGACATAATCAAGCATAAACAATTCATAAGCATAGGGAAACAGGCAAGGCAGATAAAGATAAGCACAGTTAATATCCATAACCCAACATATACGATTCCCGGCATAAATCCCAAAGTCACCTCCCGAGACAATCATAACAACAACTCATCCATATCTCATCACATAGCACACTTTGTTGGCGCCACAGGACCAATCGCATGCCCATACATGAGGGTCAGCGCATATAGCTCTGACACGGCCCCGCAGCACCCTGCCCCGTATCGCAACACGGAGGGGTCGATCGCAACCGACCGATGAACCGCAGCTCATCATAGTTTGATCGCAACCAAACAGTGGACCGCAGCCCAAGAGTATGTCATCTGACCGCAGCCAGGAAATATGAACCGCAGCTCATGTAGAAACGTTTGATCGCAACCAAACGGTGGACCGCAGCCCTATATAATATTTATATACCTGATCGATCGCATCCGGCCTGGTTAACAGTCAGTATGGTTCTCAACCCATCCAACTGCCCGTATAACCAATTTGATCGCAACCAAATTGGGGTATCATGCACACATAACACATAGCAAGCACATGCAACCCACATTAACACATTGGGAAGGGGGAGAAAACGTATAACAAAACTTATGCGTGATTCTTCACTTACTAAGAATAATCCTAAGGGGTTCATACTTCTTTCACCTAGGTTAATGGGATACCAATTCAACTAGCATGCAATATATAAGACTCATACAACCTACGAACGGTACCCGAAATATCAAACTAGACATAGGCACGATAGACGGAGTCTGTTGGGACACCACGGGGGTCGGGGGAACATCAAACGGGGAAGCCGGAAACCCGAGGTAGGGTATTTTCCAGCGGGTAGCCGGTGGGTGAGGGTTCACCCGCCGGCTGCCCGCCGGTGGTGTGACTCCGGGCAGCGGGCGCCCGGCGGGCAGCTGCCCGCCCACCAGCTGCCCGCTGCCGGCGTTGCCCAAATAGGCCGCGCGTAGGTGGCGGGTCCCCGACCCCCCACTGACTCTTTTTCACCAAAAACGCCCCGGGAACCTTTGTGGAACCCGAAACCATGCTTGGACACTTTCAAACGCAATTGATAACACACGTAGACAATTAACGGATCAAAATCAAGAAACATACGGCACATAACCCATCATGCTTTTCTAAACATAATCAACACCCAAACATACAAATTCCCACCCAATCTACCAAGAATAATACCATACGAATTCCACGATATAACCTAGGGTTCTAATTACTTTTAAATCAACAAGAACAC